TAAGCTAAAACAACCACTACCAAGGTGACCACTTACCTCTTTCTGACTGCAGCCCCAAAAGCAGGAATCTTGTCCAACAGTGCCTGCACAGTAACTTCCCATAGGGCCATACTGTTTCCTTTGCTGTAAGAGCCCATTAAAGACTATGGAAGGCTACTGTGTAGGAAGCATGGGGACAAAATCTGAAGAACCAGCACACAATGATCTTCCAAAGAAATTCAAACTTTATTACTTATGCATCTATACAAAGAATAACCGATGACTTGGGCAGCAGTTGTTCCGTGTATAGATGCATGTGGAATAAAGTTTGAATGTCTGTGGAAGATTGTGTGTTTGTTCTACAGATTTTGAGCCCATCACTCCAGAAAAGGGTCATCCGTGCACAAAGTGTGGATTGTGGGGACGCATAATAGCGGTAAGCTGTGTGGTTTGTGTTCTAAGTTTACATGGTGACAAAATATCTGCATCAAGATTATAAACAGCGTGAGGCTACTGCCATAGTAAAGAGGTAGGTAGGCCCTGGCTTAGCTTAGAACCTAAGAGAGCAAGAAAAGGTGGATGGGAAGTATGTTATAAAGTGGACCTGTCCTTTAATTCTAATTTTGCTGGGTAAAACATACACTGCAGAGTCAAAAAAAAAAGAAGTCACACACCAATATTTTGTTGGACTGCCTTCAGCTTTGATTATGGCACGTGGCATCATTTTGATAAGCTTATGCAATATCTCAATATTTATTTCCATTCAGAGTTAATTTTTCACCAAGATCTTGTAGTGATGATGGGAGTAGTGATGATGGGAGAGTCGGACCATGGCGTAAAGTCTTCTCCAGCACATCCCAAAGATTCTCAATAGGGTAAAGACCTGGACTCTGTGTTAACCAATCCATATTAAAAAGGATGTCTCATACTTCCTGAACCAATATTTTCCAATTTGAGCCCAATGAATCAAGGCATTGTTATCTTGGAACATGCCTGTGCCATCAGGGAACAAAAGGTTATGGAGACATAACTTTGCTGAACCTAAATCTAACCAAACCCAGATCATAACAAAAACAAATCCAGGCGGTGACTTTTGGCCAGGCAGCGCATTTATCCCACTAGCTCCATAGCAGACTCGGCAAGAAACAGGGGACAATCTGTTGCCATTCCCACTCAGACTAAAGCTGACCATACGCCTATAGATTATCTGCAGATTTTTCTATGGTCAGATGGATAAAAGTGCAACAGATTCCTCCATCTACGCTAAATGGTGTGGATAGAGGAATCTCCCACTGGGCCAAGCTTCAGTATCTTGCTAGTTGGCCCCGCTGGCTCTCAATATACCTGAATAATGCCTGCATCCAATCAGATTGTTTTGGAATTTGACAGCCGACCAGCAAGATACTGAAGCTTGACGGTAAAAAAAATTGTGCAACAAACGCGCGTTTCCGAGGGCTACTTGGCTTTATCCCAATGGAAACGCGCAACAAAAACGGCCCAAAGTAGTACATGTACCTTTTCAGACGTGGGCCGTTTTGTAGCGCGTTAGGGACAGGCTGAAATACGCCAAGGTGTGAACCAGACCCATTGAATACAATGGGATTTAGATGTTTGAGCGTTTCGTAGAGCGTTCGTCGAGCGTAGAACGCGATACAAAACATTCAGGTGTGAACGAGGGCTTAGGCATAACTTTAGTACAACTGGCTAGCTGGGTGCAAATCCTGTTGTGGAAATATTGTTTTCTCATTGATATGAATGTTCAGCAGGCATCTGAATGCATTTCTTCCAAAGCCCATTTACTCCTCTTCATCCCTTTTATAAGCTGCATGACCACGTCCACTGCAATTTTCTACAGCCCGGAGGAGCTTCTGCAATACCGCTCAAACACTTTATGAAGAGCATCAGCATTAGAAGACAGCAGTGCTGGTTTTAGGACTGTTGCTATGCCTTCTATACAGCCTTAAGAGGTCACTGACTAATTTTACATAGTCCCTAGAGTTGTTCTTTAATTCTAGAGTGAAATAAATGGTAATACAAGGCAGCCACCGTCTGATATGCTTTGTTCACAGGGACACAAATTACAGTCACGAACACCCACTGTTTTCCCGAGCTGCAGACTCGCATGACGTAACAAATAATTTTCAGTAAAATTACAAATGCTATTTAGGTAATGACACACACCAGGGATTGAACTTGAAGTACAGTGTTTTGATTGCTGCTTTCCTGTTCTAAGTACTTGATATGATGAAGCATTTAGTAATAAAAATCAAGAAAATTATCATGAACCAGTCACCTGGGGGCACTCACATCTAAGGAGATGAAGCCACTTGTATAAAATGCCAACTGCGGCAACTGTCACTGCAACGCAAGGTGCTGAATGCAGCAACACCTACTAGCATAATTTCTACTGGCATCATTTCCATTACTGGAAATCATAAACCAAGACCACTGGACTGATGCTCCTTAAATACTAAACATCTGTGATTCAACCAGAAGTACAATGCCTCCCTGCAACCTAAAACCTGCACTGAAGCATTTTGTTGCCATTTAAAGACCGTGTATACAGTAACATTATCTTATCTATTAATCTACAATATCTAAAGACCTCTATTCTTACTTTTCTTTTTGTCAGTCGTTGATGGACCACGTATATGTACAAGCAAATTATACAAATACACTTCACATAGTACATCATCTGCTCCGGCTCGGTCAGTGACCTTCTATGGGACATCATTCTTCAGGTTTTACCGTAAAGACGCGTGTATATAAAAATCTAAATTTTGATTACAAACTTATATTTAGTTCTTCCTGCTTTGACCTTTATTAAAATATCAGGCTAGGCTGAAATTTTGCACCGTATTTATATGAACAAGGAAGTGGGTAATAGGAAATACCCAGTCTATAAAGCATATATAATGGGGGGGGGACAGACGGACTGTACTTTATTAAAACAGAAGCAGTAGTATAACGTCCATTTACAGTCTATGACTAATGATTATACACCGTCTACTGATGTCTTCTAGCTGACACAGGAATGTCAATTACGCTCCCATGGCCCCCCAGAGAGAGATATTCACCTACTCTGATAAGTCACACATTTCATCCCCCTCCTGGATCACACCACAAGCCCTCCACCCCCTCCACACACATACACCATTTGCTACACCGTCATGTCTTGGGGGCAACATCTCCAATGAGATCACAGCATCTGATAACACCCATCATCAGGACCACATGCAAATGAAGTCACTCTGGTAGACACTTACACCATTTCATACCAGAATAATGATGAAACAAAAGGCTGGAACGATCAGTAAAACTAAATGTATATTCCCCTGTGTTCTGGAACGGGTACTTTATCAGTGACAAGTGAGTGACATGAGCTATAATATACCGATATCACAATGACAGACCACACAAAAGTCTAAATCCTTTTCTATAGCTCCTTAGCATAACGACAGAATGAACCAAAGCATCCCTAAAGATGAACTAGAAGTAAATGGCAAATAAAGGGTTAAATCCTGCCCCCCCCCCCCCTTTTCATCAAGACGCCCCCTCCTCTGATCACTCCTATTGTGTCAGGCTTGATTTTAATGAATGTTCGCCTACTATGGACCGCTCCTGCGCCTACTACATTCGTTTCACGTGTTTGTCCTTTTAAAAATATCAACAGCTCTTCACTCTGCCTATTGTAGTACAGAAGACTTCAGCCTACATTCACACCTCAGCTGATTTCACACGATTCTAAACAGTTTGGTTTTTTTTGCATGTTTTTAGGCTTGAGCGTTTTTGTTTTAGCCAACAGTAGCTAGTAATTAAGAGTAGATGGTTATTATTAGGTGCAAAATCACACATACAAAAAAAAAAACTAAAAACAAAAAAAAACACGTGTTTTGTACTTTTCCAAGCTTCAAGTGACACAATGCTCAGGTGTGAACAGGCACCACAGAAAATAATTGGATTCTTCATGGCGAGTATTGTCTCACTTTGGGAGACACATGATAAAACGCTCAGGTGTGAATGAGGACTAGAGTATCCTGCCAATATAGATCAGTCAGAGTAATGAATGTCATTCTGGCATCGCTTACCCAGTTTGTAGCGCCATACCAAAGCTCCGTTCACATCTCTGCAACATTGCATATGTGCGGCAGTTTGCATTGCGTGAATGGGCTGCCTACCGCAACTAAATCCAAAAGACGCACATTACCTTTGTAACTGATTACAACACAAGGTAATAAGCTGCCATGCGTTGGGCTGGCATGCAACAAACATGCGATGGCTAGGTGCATTGGGGTGCCATTAAGAGAAAAATGGCACAGCAGTGGACCTAAGCCCTCATTCACACTAAGCGATTTGTAGCACTTTTTCTTCCCCAAAAAATTCCCATTCATGCCTCAGCATGTTGTCGCTTGTAGCATAACACCCGTCAGTGGAAAAAAAAGTACACGTGCTTCTTTTTGGAAGATTATGCGCTTCTTGGTCCCATAGTCTTCATTGGAAACGCAAGTTTTTTGCGCCTTTTCCTATTTAAATTAATATGTCACTAAAATACTTCTAAGCTCCTTGAAGGCAGGGACTGATGTGAATGTGCAACTATGCAAAGCGCTGTGTAAATTGTCAGCACTATATAAAATACCTGTAATAAATAATAAGAAATAAAAATGTGCAAATTTCTCTACTTCTGTAATAAAATATGCTACACAAACTGACACAAAATGCGCTGAAAATGCACACATTTGATGTCGCTCAGTGTGAATGAGGGTTTACAGTTTAGCATGCGATCTTGTGCAACACGGGATCCACATGTGCTCCCACACCGCATAGATGTGAAGAGAACCTCAAATCTCTGTCACTTGTACTATTTAAAGTCCTGATCTCACATTAGATGTCAATGAATACAGTCACAATCTCAGGAAGAGCACACCAGGCTGGTGACACCAGTCATCCAGAGACCCCCATGGAGTCCAGACACACTTGTGGGCTGGAGAGAGAAAGAGCTGCAATAGATGTGCCACACTTACTTTGTCCTGTTTGCCGTCTTCTAGCTGGGGGGTCACAGCTGTGGCAGGAGGGGACTTGATGGTGCTGGAAGGGTTACTGGCTGAAGGGTTAGTGCTGCTGGTCGGACTAGACGCCCCTTTGTCTCCAGTGTCCACTTTGATGAGTCTGTGCTTTGGGGACACATACTTGACATCAGGAGAGGGAGAAGGAGAGGATGGGGACTGGGCAGTAGAAGCGGGGGGCGCAGTGGGCACTACAGAGGAGTTGGGTAAGGAAGCTGAAGTAGTGCTACTAGAAGTCGTCGTATAGGGGTCTTCAAAGTCTCTTTCTTTCTGCAGCTTGTAAGCGGCCAGTATGTCCGGCTGTCCCGCTGGGGTGACGGGGAACTGTAGTCCAGTGGAGTGCAGGTGGTGATGATGGTGGTGGTGGTGGTGAGGCTGGGCTCCCCCTGCCAGGCATTGCCTATAATCCGGTTTAGGAGGGGCAGGAGGAGGCGGTTTGGAGCTCTTGAAGCCCAGGTGCTCCTTGATCCATTTGGCCATGCTGCCGGCGCATTGCTGTCCCGTGCTGGAGGCGGCTGGGGGACTCCCTCTGCTGCTGAGGCTGCTACGGCTGGTGTCTGCCCGGACGGTCCTGCTGGGTTCCGCTGACTGCTGCTGCTGGAGACCGCTGGCTGGAGCCGTGGAGTGTCCGCTCAGCAGCATGAGAGATACAGGGCAGTGTCCGGGAGAAGGCTGCCAAACAATCAGGAACTAAGAACGGCGTGCGGAGCAGCTGATCCAATGTATGAATGAGCCTATGTGTGGCCAGACCACGCTATATACACACACACTACAGTAACTCTATACACTGCCGGGGACTGCGCCCGCGCCATCTAGTGGCCGAATCTCGCACTGACCTCATTCCATTGACGGCTGGATTCCGAGACTCTGCACAGAAGGATCAATATTTATAGTTCTGAAATAAGCTGATTTATATTAATGTTTATATAAATATGTGGGTGTGTGTGTGTTTTTTATCTATTTTTAAAACTGCATTTATCACAACTCTTGCTTGTATCACACGTAGTCTCAGTGGTGATTAAATACCACCAAAATAAAGCTCTATCTGTCCCCAAAAAAGGGTATAAAATTCATTTCAGTACAGCGCTGCATGACGGAATAAATGTCAGTCAAAGTACCGCAGCGCTGAATACTGAAAAATGGCCTGGATGGGAAGGGGGTTTAACACAGCGGATGTCAACTGGTTAAACTAAAAAAAAAAAGTGTTTTTGTTTTACCAAAAACAGCCCGAAATGCATCAAAAACGCGGCACAACCCACTGCACTGCGTGTGCAGAAACCTGACTGGATCTGCTCTGCATTTGGTGTGAACAAGGCCTAAAGGCTTGTTCACAGAAATGACAGTGTGTTCCAGCACGATTAGCTGCTGGAACGCACTGCATCGCATATTAAATTCCCCACTGTGTTCAGTATCACATCTCCACTAGGGAGGTTTTTACATGTAAATACCATGCATAAAATATGTTAAATGCACATATACCTGTAATCTGATGGGCAGGGGCGTAACTAGAAATCACAGGGCCCCATGGCAAAATTTTGTATATGGCCCTGTGATTTCTAGTTACGCCCCTTGCAGAGCCCACCCGAGATCCCAAACAGCCCACCTGAAAGTGACACTGCAGAGCCCACCATAGAGCCTCTATGTTGGGCTATGCAGGGTCTAAGGGGGGCTGGTCACACCCCTGCACACCTCTTACCTGTCAGCCCTGATCCGCTGTCCGCCTCCTCCTCCGCAGCTGCTGGCTGTCACTGACTCAGCAGCGGCTGTGAGGAGGAATGTGCCGCTGCACAGATCACTGACAGGTTGTCAGTGAACTGAACAGTGGAGCGTTCCTCCTCACAGCTGCCAGTGAAATCCAGCACCCTGCGATGTTATAGCGACCCAGGCGGCCCCCCTGCATCAGGGGGAACCCCTTTGTTCCTCGTCCTGGCTGCCTGGGTAGCTATGGCGATAGTTCCGCCACTGCTGATGGGAATTATTTTGTCAAATTAATGGTCTGTCGGCAGGATCCCTTTAAAGTTGACCCAGGCCTATGATTGTGATAGCCACTGATCTAGAACAAGCATGCAGCCAGTGATATCTAAAAAGAGAGAACCTGCTATGAGTTTATTCCAGGGCATGGAGTCACTAGATAGCAAAACTGGGATAAGGGTAAGCACTCTAGAGCATTCAACTTAAATAAAAATAGCCTGCAGTGGCAACTTCTATATTCCTTTTCAGTGAGACACTAAAGTAATAATAAGTAACTGAAGGGGTTTTCCCAAAAAGAGGATTTCCTCAAAGAAAGGTTAGCAGTATTACGTATTTTTTCTATATCTAACCCAGTCATACACCATCCTGAAGAAGTGTTCCTGCAGTACCACGAAACGCATCGACGGTGTGCCTGATGTCCTTGTTTGACAAAATTGATAAAAGTGATTTACCAGAAAATATCCAAAACTCCTTCTTGGACTCCGGGCACCTCTGCTCACTACGGCAACCCACCAATGCTGCAGTGCCGTCCGTCAGTTTTTTTACAACGGGCGGACGGCAAGTGGTTAAGGAAATCCCCTTTTTTGGAAAACCCTTCAGTAAATTCATATGACATCGGGGACAGGAGCAGTCCAGCCAAAGATCACTCAAAGATTTTCCCTAAAGAGCATCGAGGACGACTTCTTATCTGTGTGGGGAAAGACATGTTCCCCGCAAGCCTTTTTATACGGTTGCCTGAGACCCCTGTGAAGGGAGATCACACAACCCAACTCATATGAGCACCAGTATTCCAACAAACGCATTAACAAAATTCTGTTTGTAGTTTGATAAAACTACACTTAGGCGGATCTCTTCCATATATCAGTGTTTTCCATTTTTTTTCTTTCTTCTGTTACCCCTTTTTTGGAAGAATCTACTTTCCTAATAATAATAATTAGCCCATCTTCCTTTATGCACGTAGAATCTCAGAAAAAGATTGGAAGGCAGTAAATGACATCTTCCACAAACCAGTGATTATTTTAAATGGCGCCCTAAAAGTTCATTCTGAATGAAAGAAGACATGATGTCAAAAATTGACTTTTAGGTCTGCTGGTGGCTCTTTATGTACAGTATGTTCTAGTATCTGATTGGCCACAGCTCCACTCTCTTTGCCTCATGTCTTCTGTGACCGAGGGCAAGTTCTGTTCAAGCCAGAATCACCAGCTGAATGTACCTGCCTGAGCAGCAAATCAGTGGCTCTACATTAGTAGGAACCTGCCCTGTGCCACAATGAAAAAGACAATAGACAGTCAGAACCAGAAGGAATTTACTTAAGCTGGCCATACACCTATAGAGTTTCTGTAGATTTTCTATGATCAGTTGGACAGATTCCTCCATCTACGCTAAACTGTGTGGATGGAGGAATCTCCCACTGGGCCAAGCTTCTGTTGCTTGCTAGTCGGCCCCGCTGGCTCTCAAAATACCAGAACAATCTGATTGGATGCAGGCATTGTTCAGGTATTTTGACAGCCAGCTGAGCTGACTAGAAAGATGCTGAAGCTTGGCCCAGTGGGAGACTCCTCAATCCACACAGTTTAGCGTAGATGGAGGAATCTGTGGCACTTTTCCCATCTGCAGATATTCTAAAGGTTTATGGCCAGCTTTAAAGATACTGACATTTTTATCTTGGGTGCAGTAATTGGGATCTGGAGTACTAAAATTAGTTTTTGACTTCAGGTCAACTTTGGTTTGTCCAAATCCATGTTGCCAGTAATCATCAAATACCACCAGCCTGGTAATCACTCATTGCTACAAATACCTCTGCTTGTCACTGACCTCTTCCCGATCTGTATCAGCTCCAGTGAGTGTAAAGGTGGCCATACACTGTACAACCATCGCAAGACTTTAGTCTTGCGATGGTTGTAAAGGGATTAAAAAAACGTACGATCTGCCTATCTTGGACAGGCAGATCGCACTCTCGATCATCGCAAGCCCGCCCTCCTGAGGGGCGGGCTTCCGATGACCGCAATGCTGGACGGGCAGTGTGCGCGTGCGCACACCGGCCCGTTCAGCATTTATCTTCCGAGCACCGTTCTAACCAGCCGAGAATCGTACGATTCCCGGCTGGTTTTCGAACATGCTGGTTCGACAGAAGACGTGTGACCGTACAGTAGAAACGGTCGCACGTCTCCGTTCACACTGCTCGATTATCGTACGAAAAAACGATCGCATACGATTATCGTACGATAATCGTGCAGTGTATGGGCACCTTAAGCCAGGGGTAGGCAACCTTCACAGTCCAACTGTAGTCAAAGTACAAACCCCATCATGCTTCTTCTATTGGGAGTCATGGGACTTGTAGTTTCACCACAAGTGAAACTATAGTCTCAATTTCTGTACACCTTTAGGCCTGGTTCACACCTAGCAGTTTTGGAGCAGTTGCAAAAGTGCTTTTAAATGCCCAACATAAGAAATCCAAGATTTTCAATGGCCCTGGTTCACACCTGAGCAGAAAAACGCCAGCAAGAAAACGTAAAATGCCCGAAAACGTACATGAGCTTACTGGGGCAGTTAAAAGCTTATTTTCGCCGCATAGACTTTAATGGAAATGGCCAGAACCGCACGGCAGAAGCATGTTGCACATCTTTGTGATTGTTTTTGCACGTTTAAACGCTCGTTCCTCCATTGCCTGCAAGGTTACATGCACTTTTTGCACAATTTTGATCAGTAGTGATTTACAGTTTATATTGAGGTAATGGTTTATACCTTTAGTACATGAATTCACGATTTATATCTTTATTCGTATTTATATGCACCATTTGCATTTTTTGCACAATTTGGACCAAAAGAGGTCTGTTTATTTATATGTATGCACAATTTGCGTATATTGTCTTATCAATATCCTTCAGATTAGACCCATTTAACTAGTTACTATCTGGACCCATAGCGCTGCATACTTATTATTATTCACAAGCTGGCCCAGGGTGTCTATAGTGTAGCAGCTGTAAAAATATCTAATAGTTCTCTAAGACTACCCATAAGCGCAGATTTGACATTATTCTCTAATGTTACATAAGGTGCCAGTCAAAATGTGCATCTTCATGTACGCGTGTAAAAACATGCATCAAAAAATGTGTGCTCACGCGCAAAAACAGTACCACCTAAGTGTTAACGCGACCGTAGTATAGTGGGAGATATCATTACCTAATCCAAGCTTTCCCAGCTGATAACAGTATGAGATGATCTTCAGTAGAGGGTTCTTGACACTTGTTTGGTGTTTATCTAATGCTCATTAAAGGAGAACTATGGGGTCAGTGTTTTTCCCCATAGTTCTCCTTAGGGTAACGGGAGGACACAAACTAGCGTCCTCCCGTTACCCTATGCTCAGTATACCGCGAGCTTTAGCTCGCGGTATACTGAGACGCCGCAGCCGGAGCGAATCCCGACGTAGATGAAGGGATCCGCCCAGCTGCGTGAGTGACAGCTGCCTCTGCCTATCTAGAGACAGAGCCAGCTGTACCCGCCCCCTCCCACGTCCGTTCCGCCAGTCAGCGCTGGCAGATCGGAGCGGGGAGAGGGAAATCCAGCCCCTCCCCCTGTCACGGCAGAGAGCCGTGACAGGATCGAGAGGTGAGCGAACCCCGGTATATGTTCGCTCACCTCCCGATCTACTGAGCCGACCTGTGACAGTCTCATTGTCACAGGTCGGCTAGAA